CTGATGACAATCCACCTAACCCAGCCCGAAGGAAGTCTCTTGTACAAGAACTGGGGTGTAAGATGGGCTTCCTGCCCTCTCTGCTGCAACAAGGCAGGGGGTTAGCCCTGATGGTCCTGGGCCCTCTGAGCCTTGCTCTCTTGGGTGGCTTGAACTTGGGGGAGTATACCCCCAAGCATGGTGGGGTTCACCGAGCACCCGAGGTGAGCCTATCCTGCTGGCTGGGATGAAGCAGGAAGCAGCTGGGAGCCAAGCTTTTAGGACTCCGTGCTTCCGTTTGCCGACGGAAACTCAGATGAGCCTGAGACAACAGCCCAGTGAAGAGGTCGGGGAAGACTTAAAGAAGGGGGCCTCCCTGGGGAGGTGGCCGGGAGTGAACACCCCAGGACTGGGAAGTGCAGAGGGGGCCTGGTCCAGATAACAAGCTGTGGAATGTCCACTCAGGGGCAGCTGCCAAGACGTAGCAAAGCCGCTGGAAGGTTCTTAACATGTGGTAAAAATGCTCGGAGTACGCATTTGTCACGTTAACATTGGCCGTGTAACCGGGCAGTCAAAGCGTGTAACGGGACAGGCGGCAGACGTTCAGTCTGCTGAGCTGTTGTCAGAACGATGCAGACATTTTCTCAGTTCAGGCAGAGGCTCCACCGTGACAACAGCGCCGTTCCTACTGGGCACAGCCATGCAAGAGGAGCTAAAGGGTGTGTGTGTGTGTGTGTGTGTGTGTGTGTGTGTGTGAGATCTGGGCTCAGAGCAGCAGGGAGACAGGCTGGGCCACCCATCCGTGGGTGGATGAGTCCCTCAGGTGTGCAAGAGCCCAGTGGCTTCTGGGAAGTGGACCACACTTGGTGGATGAGGGGTCCTGGAGCCCACCATGTGCAGATGCTCCATTGCCATAAGGTCTCACGAGGCTCGGAGGAGGCATCTCTAGAGAGAGGGGGTGAGGGGTGGGGTTACTGAGTGAGCACCTGCCGTATACATGCTGAATATGCTGCCTTGAGCCCAGTTTCTCAGCAGCCCCTGCATGCTTCCCCCTTTGCAGATAAAGAAACAGGCACAGAGAGGCAAGAAGGCCTACCCAGGTGGCACGGTGAGGGCCAGGCTGACAGGCAAAGCCGGAGCTGCGTAGGTGGGCTAGACCCTGACTGGAAGGGCCTGTGGCTGAAGGACGGGACCACCTCCCCTCACTCCTACCTGCCAGAAGCCAAGGGCTGGCTCAGCCAGGCCCCAGCACCCGTCCCTGCAGCCGATGCCCGATAGTGCCCGGGGTTAATGAGTGTATCGCTGCCCCAATTAACAGCAGAAAGGCAGCCGATGTCACGCTCAATCAAGCCCCCGGTCCTTCTCCAACAGAATCCTAATTTGTGGACACTGGATTTAATTGTCTTCCCCGAGTTTCCCTGAGAGTCAGCCAGGCGGGCGCAGGTCCTGGGGCTGGAGAACACAAATACCCTTCCTCCAAAATCTATAATTACACCAGCCCCGGAGACAGGCTGTGGTCCCAGGAGGCACCTGACCTGGAAGAAACCTGAGATTGGCTAAAGAGGAGAGGGTTCCAGGTTAAGGTCTGAGAGGCTCCTGGGAGGCCGAGGGCTGGTGGGAAGGAGAGGGGCTGGGGGCTTGGAGGGGGGCTCTCAGAGATGGTGTGGACCAGGCTCCCCCACTTTGAAGAACTCTTAAATTGTGTTCAGTTTAACCAGTGACTCACTCTGTGACCTTGAGCAAATTGCTTAACCTCTCTGAGCTCCAGTTTCATCTGAAAAAAATGGGGACTGTTAGGATGAAAGCTGCCCTGTAGGGGACACAGGGGCAGCCATCTTGGGAACATGGGCTGGCCAGATGTAGGTTAGAGTGCAGTTCTGTGTGGCTGTGGCAACCTCCTCACCTTTGTAGCCAGGTGGGGCAGACGACAGTGTTGGAGTTGAGGCCTGTGTGGCACTGGGCTTAGAACACACACACCATGTTCTTCTCCTCTTTGCCTTTCAGTCACACTGCCCCTTCACTGTGAGGCTGAAACTGAGGGGACCCAAGGAGGCTCCACCGTACCCCATCTTGGAGCTTCTGATGAGTCTGAGGGGGACCAGAGACCCTGGACCAGAGTCCCTGTGGGAAGGGGAGCTGTCCATGGTAGCCACTTCAATGGCCTTGTAGTCTTCCTTTGACCTCCCACCTAAAGCTCCTCTCCACTCCTTGCTCATGATGGTCTATGTACTGGGATTGAGGTCAGGGGACACTGCCTCAGGGAAGTCTCCCTGATTTTCTCGGAGTGAGCAAGCTGTTTCAGTGGCCTTTCCAGGCCTGTGCACTGATGAGGCAGCATACAACTTGCCCTCCAGGGCAGCAGGCTGGCCAGCAGGGACCACTCCCACTGCCTTTGCTTTTTGAGACAGAGTCTCATGACTGGCCTTGAATTCACCACGAAGCCAAGAATGATCTTGAATTCCAATCTTCCTGTCTCCACTTCCTGAGTGCCGGGATTACATTGTATGCCACTGTGTCCAGACTATGCCATTCGAGGGTCAAACCCAGGGCCTCGTGCATTGCGAGGCCAGCGCTGCAATGGCTTAGCCTTCACCACCAAGCCAGCCCCCTTGTAGAAAGAGCTCTACAGGCAAAAGGCATTGGGTGCTGGAATGCCCTGACACAATCTCTAATTCTAGCTCTCGGGAAGCAGGGGCAGGAAGATCTCTGTGAGTTCCAGGACAGCCAGGGCTACACAGAGAGACCATCTGTTAAACAAAACAATCTTCTACCCCAGAGTAACTAAATATACTAAGACTCATGGGGTTCTCAGGGGTCAGGCTGGCCTGGGCTCCAACTCTGACTCTCTTGCAGTATGGCGAAGGACTGCACTTTGTGGGGGATTAGGGGCCCCCCTCTAAATCACAAGGACAGATAAGGAAACTCATTTCCTGCTGAGACATATACGCAGCAACCACCCAACACTGGGACCGAGGCTGGACCAAACTGGAATATGCTCAGACTGGATCCAATGTGGTGGGCTCCTGTTCCAGGGCCCTCCTGGCTCCTCCCAGTGGCAGGTTCTCTGTGACACCCTTGCATTCTCTGCTTGGCAGTTAAAATTGGGAAAGATGTTGGCCACAAAGGCTTGGTCAAGGATCATCAGGTGTGGACCCTGGAGGCCATTTTCTAGCTGTTCAGATACATGACTGACTTCCCACCGTAAACCAGACCCTTTAACCAGTGCTGAAGACTGATGATAGATAGATTGATAGATAGATGGATAGATAGATAGATAGATAGATAGATAGATAGATAGATAGATAGATAGGGCTGTTACCTCCTGGAAGGACAGATAACACATTAGCTGTGCCACCCAGGACGGTAACCATCCCTGTACACAAAATGGTTCCATTTAAATGAATTAAAATAAAATTTAAAATCCAGGTCCCTGATCCACACAGCAAAGTGTCATTAGTGGTCACCATATCAGCTTACATACAAACCATCTTCCCCCCTGTAGGGACTTCAGCTCCTATCCTAGGTGAGAGGAGAAGGCATGGGAGTGCTTTGTTAAAATAGCTCCAGCCGCTGTGTGAAAACAGATTGGCTTCAGGGAAGAAGAAGGGAGGGAGGTCGGTGTGATAATGGCGGCTCAGCCCCACAGCAAGAGACTGGGGTCTGGAGAATCTATGGGCCAGCACCCATGGAGTTTCTCGAAGACCCAGTGTAGCTTGTGAGGGTTGAGGTAGAGAGGTAGCACTTGGCACAGGCCCTGAGCTGTGACAAGGAGGGCAAGCGCTGTTGGCAGTACTCTGCAGGAGCCTGCTTCCCTCCTGCCCCCTAGAGACAAAGACAGCCCAGCTCTTGGGGTGGCACCCCACACCACCCCCATAATTCAGTAATCCAAGCCATGTGCTTTATCATCAAGCAAGCCTTTTTATGTACCCAGGCCTAGCGAGCCCTTCCACTCTGCAGAGAAACAGCAAAGCCTTTTCTTTCTCTCATAAGAAGCTTTGGAAGCCTTGGGCTGCCAGGCTTTCTCTCCAGCCCAGAGCTGTCGTGGAAGCAAAGCTCCACACGGGTGCCGGGTGCCTTGTGCAGAACAGAGACAGAAAAGCTTCCAGATTGGGGCAATTGTCAAACCCGATCATACAAAACCCCCACTGTCCTGTGGAGGGGGGTAAGGCCGAAGCCTTTGAATTCAGAATGGGTATCATAGCTCCCTCTTTCCTGAAACAGGAGGCCCTCTGGAGTGTCTAGCAAGGAGTGTTGATCCCTCTGAGCTGGGCCCGGGGAACAGCATAGTCCAGGGGTGGGGGCTGACAGGCAGGCATCGCATTCTTGGGGTGACCTGCAGTTGCTAGGCATCTACCATCTTCCTTCTGTGTGGGAGAATCTCTCCTGAGGGTAGGGAGGCATGCTAATTGCATCTCAGACAGTTTGGGGAGAAGGAACCAGAGCACATGGAGGGGAGGGGTGCTGGGCCTATGAGGTGGGGTGCAGCACGGTGACCTGAGTCGAGGGTGGGTCTGCTGCTGGCTCCTGGGTGGCCGCCTCTCTCCTATTTGACACCCCTGCCTCCAGCACATCTGAAATGGCCAAATTGGTGACTCAAGTAAAGAGTTGATGCCTCCCCCCAAAAAAAGGGAGACTTGAAACTGAGCTTTGATTGATCACAGGAGCCAGACCGGAGGTGAGGAATAAGCAGGGCAGAGGGAGCTCAGAGAAGAGGCAGAACCCCAGGCAATGGGGAAAGAGCCTGACAGAGGGCCCACACACACACACACGAGGAAGGGCAGAGTTATGTCTGGGTGTACCCCAGGGGAAATGGGAGCCTTGTAACTGGGTTTGAGTTTAAAAGATGGTGGGCAAGGCTCAATCCGGAAGAATTAAAATTGGCAACTTCTTGGCTTCCTGGCTCACTTCCAAGTCAGCCCTCCTTCATCGCTCCTCTGCCCATGTGTCCCTCAGGACGGTGTCTTCCCACTCATGGGTCAGGCTCCTGCTTCTGAGCCCTCACCTGCCTGTTCCCCACACAGCACTCTTCACAGAGACGCCCCATGACATGACCGCACGGACGGGCGAGGACGTGGAGATGGCCTGCTCCTTCCGAGGCAGCGGCTCCCCGTCCTACTCACTGGAGATCCAGTGGTGGTACCTGCGCAGCCACCGGGACTGGACTGACAAGCAGACATGGGCCTCCAGCCAGGTAAGACCTTGGGATCTGCGTCCCTGGGGCACGCTGCAGGGGCCTTGTGGAACTCTGTGCCCGGCATCCCTGTCCTCGGCAACACCCTGCGGCACCCCTTTCTTGCTGGGGTAGGGCAGGGGATGGCCAGAATAATGCCTGTTCTAGACCTCCCCTAGAGTCAGGGAGCCTGAGGCCAGAGGCATGGAGCCTCCTTCAGGGAATGGGTAATATGGCTCCCAGTTCACTTGCTATCACCTCCCCACACCACACTGGCAGTATTTTTGTACAGGGCTGTTTGAGTAAGACCATGTTCGTCCCAAGCACCCATGCTTTACATGCAGACAGGTTCCCTGCACAGGGTCACAGCATGCCAGCTCCCCACAAGCAGTCTCCTGGTTCACACTGCCACAGCCCCTGCCACCTGCCCACCGCCTCTGCCACTCTAACGGTTTTCTCTGGGAAGCTGTGCTTGCTGTCTGTAAAACAGACGGGGGCAGCCTTGGCCCGGCGATAGGTGCCTGTGGCAGAAAAGCCACATGCCTCCTCTCCTCATGGCTGAGTCATTGATAAGACCAGTGTCCCTGAGGTGCTTGGCAGCTCAGGTGTAGCTGGCCAGCCAGCCGAGCCTGGTCTGACTCCCTACCTCCCCTTCAGTGTTTCCTAACCTTCCCTCCCAAATGAGTCGAGAGTCGAGTACACTCCCATCATGCTCTCCGGGTCTGCTTTCAGAGACACCTAAGACAGTGGGAACCCACACGTTGCTCTGTAAAGCAGCACACAGAGATAGACATGCCCACATGAACATACGTGTACACACACACACAAACACACACAGAGACATACACACATACCCTTAGTACAAGTCCGTAGTGAAGTCTGTCTTGATTATGCAGCTAACAAGCCCCCAATATGGCAGCCTACCACGTGCAGATGTGGAAGATCCCTATTGCCAGAGGACATCCTTAGGAAAGAAATTTTGGGTATTTGGGGGTGTTCAAGGTTATTCTTGGGTATTTTGGGGTGGAAGCATCCAGGACATGGCCAAGGATCCAAGTGCATCTGCTAAAAACATACATTCAGGTATGTGAACTGAAAGTCCCTGGTGTATTCTCAGCTGGAGAGTGGGCACAGACTTCTAGGGACATGCCACTCACACTCTCTTCCATTTGTACGAACTCGTGGACACACCCCTTTTAGAGCCAAACACCCTCATGACGCCTGGCTCTGTGGTTAGTGTTACAAGTTGCAAGCACCTCTTTCACCTCCCTTTGGCTGCCCTCTCCTGCACTGACAGTAAACACAGAGCTGAGGGGCCCCAATTCCATACCTCATGACCTCTAGTTAGAATCTTATTTGTCTTAAGGTTTATTTACTTATTATTGTAAGTGCATGTGTGTGCCCGAGTATACTCATGGTGAGTATGCTCACCATGTGGGTGGAAGTACCTGTGGAGGCCAGAAGGGGGCACTGTAACCCTTGGAGCTGAGCCCTGGGCACTAAACTCAGGTCCTTTGCAAGAGCAGGAACTCAGCCATCACACCAGCCTTTATTTATTTGTTATTCTTGCTTTAAGTTTTGACTAGAATGTGCATAAGTGTCTCTGTGAACAGGGTTCAGGGTGACATTTCCACAGCTGAACCCACTGCTCACAGATGAGATGGAGCATCCTTGACCACTTGACCATGATCCTACCTGTCCTCCTCTCTATAGTGTTTCTTCCCCTCCCCCCCCCCGCCCCTGGCTAACACCTTGTCTCTGCTCTGTTCCTCCCTCCCCCTCTCCCAACAGCTAAAAGCTTCTCAGCAGGAGGACTCGGGGAAGGACGCCACCAAAATAAGTGTGAGTTTTGATAATGACTTTGCACAAATGGTCTAATGGAAGATGTAGTTGTAACAAAAAAACCGAAAACAACTTTTTGTTTTTGCTTTGTTTTGGTCCATTTCAGCAGGGAACTTGGGCAAAAAGATGGAGGAAGTGAGAGAGGGCCCGAGAGGTGCCCCGGCTTGGTGGAGATTCTTGTTTGGTTTTCTGGGTCTTTTTGCCAGGTATTTTTCAAGTTCATTGAATGACAGGCAGGAAAAATGACACACACAGAGAGAAAACAGATTCTCCTAGTAGGCCAAGGCCAGCTGTACCTCTGTGGCGTTCCATGCCTGACTCAGCTCCATTTGTCATTGGGAAGTTACAAGGTCTCAGGAGGCTGAGTGGGCTCTTTTGGCCCATCAAGACTGATGCTGGAGCATCTGAGGGTCCCTGGGTTTGACTTCCGGGAGCAGAGACCCCAGGACTGACCTGCCTTAGGCATTTGTCTATTTTACGGGCTGGGCAGCTGGGGTGGAGAGTACCTGAAGTGTGGCTAGTATTGCTGAACCCCTGTCCTCTGCCAGAGCTCAGGAAAGCCAGGGACTCTAGGGAGCTGGGCTTTGACAGTTACTGTAGAGTTTGAGTATCTAACCCCAACATGGAAGAGATAGGAACTGTCAAGAAAGAGGATACAATGGGGAAAGAGCATGGAGCAGAGAAGACTGTTCTGGGCATGCGTGTGACCACAGGACCACTCTCACGGTGCCGGCACCCAAGTGTGTTGGGGCAACCTTTCCAATTCCCCTCTTGGCTGGGTCTCCCAGGGCTCTGAGGCCAGTCAGATAGGACACGCTGGAAGCCGTGCTTCTGCACGAGGGATGCAGCAGAGCAGCCACAGGAACAAGTAAGCGCACTGCGGCCAGGAGGCCAGGGAGGAGGCTTCTGCAGCCACTCAGGGGAGGGGCTAGCAAGCGAGAGAATGAATGGTCACAGCTTCCTTGGTACCTTCTGATAGATCATGGGAACTGCAGCCATTCATAATTCAAGGCAGCCAGCCCTGCCCTCCTGCCCTCAGCCAAGGGCACGCTCCCATTCCATGCCCCTGATTCATACTCTCAGGCAGAGGTCTCCATGTGTACCAACACAGCCCCTTCAAGGACACGCCCTATGCCTTGATTGTGTCCCACTTCATGAGCTTCTCTGGGCCCTGGCAAAGAGAGAATTATCTAATTGATTGAGAGGATTATAATTCCGGGCTGCTAGCCTCATGAGGGGAGAACGCAATGCTAACTAGTTAAATAAAATAAACGTTCTCCGTGGGAGTGTGAAGCCACCCCCAGCCATCCCTCATACCAGCTGGGGCTTCAGGGTCTGGTCCTAGGCACAGCATTTTACACAGCCATGCAAACCAGCATTCTTTAGATGCAAAGGCAGAGCAGACCACGCCCAAAGGCACACCCACAGCCCAGGTTCTTAATGTCTTAGAAAATGGTTGGAACTTTTCTTCTTAGCCTTCAAGGCTCTGTGGCCACTCTGCCATGCCCAGGGTCATCTGTTCCCTCCTAGCCCTGGGCCTCTACATAGGCCAGACTTTGCCTAGGAATCTATTCCTGTCTCTCCCTTCATTGCTCAGCTGAGGGAGGTACCCTGGGCCCAGTCATCAACGCACCCTTACCCTTCCCTGCTGGCTGTGCTTCGCCTGTCATGATCCACCCCCGTATTGCTTCATGTCAGTCTCCCCCAGAGAGACAGCAGGCCTAAGAGGAGCCCGGTTCACTGTTGCATTTCCACAGCCCAATACAGAGCCTGGCACATATTAGGTGTGCAGTTAATATTTACTGATTTACTCTCTCTTTACACACACTCAGACCAATGTATATGCAAACATATCTATATATATGGGTGTTACTGTATAGGTATGAAGTGACTCGATTCAGTGTGTGTACCTCTGTGTCCAGGTGATAGTAATGAGTGCGGAAACTCATGTGGGGACCGCGGGGACCCAGAGGATCCACACCTCACGTTTTCACATTATCTAAATGCTGAATTTGCTGGACTAGTACCCCACGATCTTTGGGCCTTTGATGAACCGCTATGTGACCTACAGGCCAGCAGCGCCAGGGCCTATGGAGTCATGGCTTCAGTAGTTAGGGGGGACACTTCTGAACCTGTGAAGCCTACAGAGGTCCGGGCTCAGGGTTGGCTGTGCTGACAGTAGTTGCAGATCCTGAGGACACCATGGGGCTAGCAATTAGCATACCAGGAGCTGAGCTCTGGGTCTGGCTCCAGCTCTGTGTCTGAAATAAGCTGGTAAAGAGAGAGAAAGAGACAAAGAAAGAGAGAGAAAAAAAAAACACCACTAGAAATTGGAATTTGTTTGGGCAGAGGGACCCAGCCTCCAGTACTCACCTGTGGCCTGCAAATCCCCAGTCTGCTGTCCTGCAAAGCCTAGGGTGCCTGTGTTGTCAGCCACGTTTGAGGTCTGGGAGGGTTGCTATGATCTATCTAAAGTTCCCTGCACTAGAGCTGATCGCTCACTAGTCTCACAGGTAGCGACAGGGCTGACATTCTGACTTACGAAGTTCCCTATGGGGCAGGAAACATGGTTCAGTGGGTAAAAATGCTTGCCCCAAGCCTAATGACCTCAGTTTGACCCCTGGGGCCCGTACAGGAGGAGAGAGCCAGTCCCCGAAAGTTATTTTCTGATCTCCACATACATGTCAAAACAAGCACATACCCAAACATTCACACTCTCCCAAAAACTAATTTTCGTTTTTGTTTTTGTTTTTATAAAAGGCCCCTTCCTTAGGCCTGTCACGTGATGTGATAGGTGCAGTCACAGTAGGCAAGAAATGCTTCCAGAAGGCCACAGTCACTTACGCTCAGTCCCTAGGCCCAAGTATCCACTACTTCCCCGGGGAAGGAAACATGACAGCTGCCACCAGCACGGGAGGAGAATGGCTGGTCTCTGAGAGCCTGTGGCCGGAGCTGACCCAGGCCTGGGGCTCCCTGGAGGGCAGGGCTGAGGCCTCCTGGGTGCTTTGCGCCATGCCTGCTGCGGGTAGGCTAACCGCCGGTCAAGGAGGAGCAGATGGAATGGGGTCAGAGGGGCTTTGGGAAGACACTGGAGGAGGCCCTGTTGAGGACCCCTGGCTCCTGCAGATGGTGGGGTCTGGATAGAAGGGTGGTATCTCGCATGATTGGGGGCAGGGGCAGTAAGAGTGTGGGCTGTATGTCCTTCGTGGAGCAAGGTGACCACAGCAGGGCCAACTAGAGGTACGCAGACCTTTTAGGGTCCCAAACTGGGCCTGGCGCTGGCTAGGCTAGTCCACTCCTCCTTCCCTCTCCAGGTACCTCCAAGGTCTCCTCTCGGAGCTACGCCATGGGTACAGAAGGCCTGGCCCTCCCTCCTGGCCCAGGTGTGAGGACAGAGCCTGGGGTGTGTGGTTGTGGCCAGCAGGAGGCTGGCGATCAGAGCCGGCCGAGCCAGGCTCTTTCAGCGTGATTAGGTGCTTAATCGCCGAGGCCTGTCGATGCTGGGCTGTGGTTATGATTTACAGCCAGACTGCCCCGCCGGTGTGTCATTTGGCCTTTCTAGTCGTACCGAAAGAGGAAGCCCTGCAGGCTCATCACCCCCAAACGACTGAGGCAGAATAGAAAGCCCCTCCGAGGGAGCGGCTGCTGGCTGAGGCTTAGGGAGGCCTCGTCCCCCAGCTCCCCGGGACAAAGAGTGCTGGGGGGTGATGAGTGAGGTGGGAGGGACTTCTGCCCTTAGGCCACGCCCCAGGTATGGCCTAGCGTGCCCGTTCGAAGGAGCCTCGGTTTTTTTTCCCTCGGGGACCCTGGGGAGGTTCGGGAACACGGTGCAGCAATGCTGAAGCACTCCGATAGCCGCTGTTTGGGTCTTTGCCTTTTGCACACTGCGCTGAGGGCAAAGCCGGGCTGCAGCCTCGCCTCCTTCTGGCTCCTGCCTTGGATGGCGAGGGTACCCGTGAGTGGCCTGCGCTGCACCATCTGTCCCTCTACCCCTTGACCGAAGCGCCGCCCTCCCGGAGGCCACCGCCGTCTGCTGGCCTCCGGGAGGTCGCGGAGGGCTCTGCCAGCCAGGGCAGAGGTCTCCGCGCCAGTCTCCCCGGCGCCTCGAGGGCGGGGCGTGGGCCTCCCTCCCCAGGAGCGGCTGCTCCCAGCGCTGCGCATTATTACTCCATTAGCGCCTTGTAGGGTTGACAAATGAAGGATAATTAATATCCGTGAGGGAAACAGATGTTGAGGTAATTCACTCCCGCTGCGCATTTGCAATGGCTTCTCCTAACTCACCGAAGAGCGTGGCGGGACCGCGTTGGGTCTTTCGGTGCCCTTGGTCAGGGTGACGGAGCCAGCGGGACTCCAGCCGAGCCTCACGCTGGGGAGGAGGCACCGGATTCTTGACTCTGGTGCCCCTGTTTTTCTTTGGGACGGTCTGTCTGTGTCCCACCCCAGTGCTCCTTGCTGTGACATAAGCCCATGTTTTCCTGCTTCCTGGGGGATGGGTGTCCTTAGGGAGCCCTTGCCAGCCCTGCGATCCTCTGTGGGTCTGTCACATTGTTTCCCGGTTGAGGGCATAGAGCCTCGCCTTGGGTCAGTTCCCAGCCCTGCTGCATACTGACTTGGGCTCCTGACCAGGCCAGGACTCCTTTTGGAGTCTCAGTTTCCCAATCAGTAAAATGGTTACCTTGTTTGGATGAACCCTAAGACACCCTAAGGATGGCAGTGGGGCTCCCCTCCAATTGGGGAAAGGAGATGGGGTGTATCTTTCCACTCGGCAGGCACTGGCTGCTCTTTGTGGGCCTTCTACCCAGCTGTCTCAGTGCAGGCTGGGAAATACATCTACAGGCCTTACCTGCCCTCTCTGGGGCCCCACTAGGGTCCCAAAGCAGAACTTTGTGACTTGGCAGCTGATGCCATCTAGAAAGGGGACATTAGTGCTCAGGGACGGGACTGGGGGTGCCGAGCAGCCTGCTAGTGTGCTATCCAGAAGGGCGAGTTTTGCCAGATGATGGCTGAGGGCCGAGCTCCGGTAGGGCTGAGAAGGGTCCTTCCACCCCCAACAACTTTCTTCCCCTTTAACCTTCTGTTGTTGTTTTACTTACAGGCTTGTAGAAATTTAAAAAAATAGATCAGAGACCCCACACCCACCGCCCAGTCTCACTAATCGTGCATTTCACCCCAACTGCCTTTTTGTCTTGTAATGGGGGGGGGGGGGGAGAGAAGTTGCTACTGGAGTTATAGTCACTGCAAATCTATTCACGAGAGAGAGTGCTAATCTCAAAATTACCCAGATATAGCCAACAGGAAACCGGGTAGACAAGCCACACTGTGGTCACCTGATAGAATACTACACAGCAATGAACAGAGCCGGCTGGTACTGCATTGTGTGAAAGGAAGTCAGAGTTGGCAATGACCTCCCCACGTCCCACAGAGGGTTCTAGGAGGTGGCCACACTCAGATGACAGATTTCTCTTCCTGCCACAGAAGGGACCCACAGCATTAGAAAGTCTGTGAGGCACAGGCACGAAAGGGCTGTCTCCTGAGCCCTTGACCCAGGACAGTGGAGCCCCCAATTGTGGAAAAAAAAAAAAAAAAGGATCAGGTGTGGTGCTACAAGTTCGTGTTCAGAAGTCTAAGGCAGGAAGGTACTGTCTTGGAGACCAGCCTGGACACCATAATGAGATCCTATCCTAAAACATCAAAAAACCCAAATCAATATAAAGCCAAAACCTTGACATGCAAACACGACACTCTACCTCCAAGAGCATCCAACTTGGGTTGTCAACCTGGGTCCTTTTAGAAAATTTTATTTTATTTTATGCATATATGTCTGGGCACCGTGTGTGTGCCTGGTGCCCGTGGAAGCCAGAGGGGGGAACTGGATCTCCTGGAACTGGAATTACAGTTGTGAGCTGCCGTGTGGGTGCTGGGAATTGAACCCTGGCCCTCTGCAAGACTAGCAGATGCACTAAGCGCTGACCCTTCTTTCCAGCCCCACCTTCCAGGCTCTATCTTAGAGGACTGGAACCTGGGGCTGGGGAGCTGGCTCGGCAGGTAATGGGCGCTGGCCATGAAGCCAAACATGCGGACACATTCACTGTGGCACAGGCCCTCCCCCCTCCCGCTCCCCACCCCAAGTCTCCTGAGCTCCACCCAAGCTCTGCTCTGAGGGTGCCGGCTTCTGTCCTATGCAGGAGTGGGGGCCGGTTGTTCAAACACAGCAGCACAGGCCTGGAGCTTCGCCGCGAGGCTTGTGCCCTGCTTCCGTGCGGAACTCTCACAGGCTGGGTTCCGGCTCACCCTTCTTCGCTGCCGGGCAGTATTCCACCGGCTGCACGCACCACCCCGTGGGCAGGCACTGGCGCTGCTTCTGTTTGCCCGCCTGCCACTCAACTGTTGGGATGCTGACCTGGGGTGCCCTCCCCGGCGGTCTCGGGGGTGGGGTTAGCCTGGCGGTCTGGGCTCTCGACCCCGGCCGCTGCTCACGGTGCCTCTGTCGCCCCCAGGTGGTCAAGGTGGTGGGCAGCAACATCTCCCACAAGCTTCGGTTGTCGCGGGTGAAGCCCACGGACGAAGGCACCTACGAGTGCCGCGTGATCGACTTCAGCGACGGCAAGGCCCGGCACCACAAGGTCAAGGCCTACCTGCGGGTGCAGCCCGGTGAGAACTCGGTGCTGCAGCTGCCGGACGCGCCCCCCGCCGCGCCCGCGCCGCCGCCCAAGCCGGGGCGGGAGCTGCGCAAGCGCTCTCTGCCCGAGGCCTGCAGCCTGTAGCCCGCCCGCCCCGCATGCAGTCCTCCCGGCCCTGCGGCGACGGCGGCAGAGGAGTCCCGCGTGTGCTTTGCTTGCTTAACCCCCTCCCGGCTCCGCCTCGTGCACCCCGTCCTCGCGGCCAGCCCCCTGGTGAGGAGCCAGGCCGGGGAGGACCCACGCTCCTGTTCCGCCTCTTTCTACCTGGAACCGGCTCCAGGCCCCCCAGGGAGGCGGAGCCCCACCAGCCCCACGCGGGAGGCTGCCCCGCCAGGCAGAGTTAGCACCAGCAGGCTCACTCAGGGGCCCCCCTGAGGCTCTCTCTCCTCGAGCCCCCCTCTGCCGGCACCCCTCACGCCCAGCCCCTTCTCTCGGGCCTGTCAAGTCCACCCAAGGGACCCCCCCTTCACCGACCCCCTCACTATTCCCGATCAGGGGACACCCACCCTGGTGGTTTGTAAATATTTCTATTGGGCCCACCCCGCCCCGGAACTGGCTCAAACCTCTGGCCACCCTCGGTGATGGAGGGGAGGTGGGAGGCCCAGGGCTTTGCGTAGGGGTGAGCGGGCCCTGTGTATATGACCCAACCTGTGAGTACCAGCCAACTCCAATAAAGCGGTTTAAACCAATCCGGACTGAGTCTTACTGGGGCTGGGAGGTGGGCCACCTTGGGGAGGGAGGGCGTGGTGGGTCATCACACTGAGCGCTGGCCACACTGAGTGCTGGTGCTCAGAGGAGTCTGGCGGCTTTGCAGAGACCAGGAGCCGCTACTGGCTGGAGAGAGGGGTCCCCAAAGGCCGAGAGAAGCAGCCTTTGTTGCCCCCACTGTGAGTACTGTATTCTGTATCCTCTATTCTGACATAATCACACATACGGAAGAACCTGTGAAAGCATGTTTGCATGTGGGTAAACGCCTCTCTAGCTGCCATCCAGCAAACCTATCGCCCCAGAGCAGACCCCCACCTTGGCCCTCAGACTCTTCCACCATCCCCTCTCACCCTTAGAGGGAACCCAGTGGTGACTCTTACGGTAATGTCATCATCATCATCATCATCATCATCATCATCATCATCATCATCATGAATCATCATCACGTTTTGGAGATAGAGCCTCATACAGCCCCGGCTTGCCTAGGACCCCTGGTTCAGTCTCCCAAGGGCTGTGACTATAGATGTGTGCCACCATCCCTAGCTTAGTGGGTTTGGCTTTTACTTTTAATACCTATAAACACATCACTTCATTTTGTATTACAGGTATCTTTGGGGAGGGGGCCGTGTGTGCAGAGGTCAGAGAACAAAATAATCAGTTCCCTCCTTCCACCGTGTGGGTCCTGGGGATCGAACCCAGGTCATCGAGCTTGGAGGCACGCGCCTTCACCCACTGACCTGTCTCACCCACTGTGTTTGTCACTTTAAACCAAATATTTTAATTTACTTTTTCTGAGTGCCGGGAATGGAGTTCCTTGTACCTGCTAGGCAAATGCTCTCCCATGGAGCCATATCCCAGCCCCTGTATATGTGAGTTTTGTGTTTTTGTGTTTGAAACATGGTCTTATGAAGCTCAGGCTGACCTCAACTCCTTGTGTAGTCAAGAATGACCTGAGCTCCTGACCCTCCTGCCTCAGTTTCTCCAGTACTGGGCTGACAGGGTGTGGAGTCCTGACTGCTCTGTCTAGGGTTATTGCTGTGAGCATCTCCTCCTCTCTGCTGTGCACATGAGCATGAGGGCCTCAGGGGCATTTGCCAGGCCTGTGCTCAGGCTGTCCAAGTTAGCATCTCACATTTTCCTAGGACCAGCTACACCCCCTATTTCACAATAGAAAATCAGGGTCGGAGAGGATGCTTAGTTCACCCTAACTCACGCAGCTTCCTTAGCCTAAAAGTGTGAGTGCCTGGCCCTGGCAGGAATGGCTCCCTTCAAAGCCCGTCTCCCTTACTGTGCATGACTGGGATCATCCCAACTGCCATAGTTCTGCTGAGAATTTACCTGAGGATGCGTTGACATGGACCTCTGAGGCCAGTATGGCCAGCAGGTCCCTTGACTTTGCACATTCAGAAGCCAATAGCACTACCCAGGACAGGGGTGTGTTGATATGATAAAACTGGGCCCTGTGACCTTTGCATCACTGCAGCACCCCCCGCCCCAAACAGGCCCTGCATCCTCAGATTTCAAATGAGGACCTAGCTCAGAGGAGAGCAGCTGAAGACAGGCAGGCAGGCGGAATGGATGAATAGATGGATGAATGCATAGATGGACGAAGGTGTGTGGGTAGACAATGGATGGACTGGTAGATGTATGGATGATGGGCAGACAGGTAGGGGCGTGGAAGGACTGATGGAGATTGGGAAGGACTGATGGATGCCTGATGGCTGGCTGGATGAATGGCTGGATTGAGACATGACTAGCCTGGCTGTGGAGTCAGCAGGCCCTTTACCCTTTTCAGAATCAGGGTATCCAAGGTCTATTCCCCAGAGGAGGAATCCTGGGGAGATGTCTGCCCTGGTGTCATCTGGCCAGTGTCTAGCATCTATTCAATGAATATGATTCATTTCGGAGAGGTCCAAAGGCCATGCTGTCCTTGGAAGGCCCAGGGCCCTCTTCGAGGGAGGAGGCCCTGCTGGTGTGAGCGATGACAGGACCCACTAACTCTAGCCTCTTGCTCTGTGTCAGGCACTGGTGCAGGGCTTGTCACAGAAAAATCTGCCCCTCTCAAAGCCCACTCCTCCCACAGAATTCGGAGTGCTTGCTTTAGCTCCACTGGGAGAGCCCAAGGGGAGGAAAGTGGTGGCGGGAATCAAGTCTTGCCCCTGCTCATCCTTGCTGCAAGTCCTCCAGCAGGGCCCCTCACCTTCCTGAACCTCAGTTCCCTTTCTGTGTAATGGGTCTCAGGAAGTGAAACCCGAACCACAGTGAGCTGCCATCACACACACAGGGAGGGCGAAAAGGAACATTTTCCTGCACAATACAGCATACAGGCACATTGAGAACATCGTGATATGCAAGGTGATGGAAATGTTCTAAAATTGGTTGTCATGGTGGTTATATGACTGTGTGGATTTGCTGAATCACTGGATAGATTTTTTTTTTTTTTTTCAAGACAATGTTTCTCTGTATGTAGCTTTGGCAGTCCTCGAACTCACAGAGATCCATCCACCTTGCCTCTGCCTCCCCAGTGCTGGGATTAAAGGTGTGTGCCATCACTGCCTGGCTCTGAATAGATATTTTAAGTAGATGAATATATGGTGTGCAGGTATCTCAATAAAGCTGTTAAAAGACAGGATAATCCTAACTGCAACACTGTGCCCACCGGCCTAAACAGGGCACATGGCAGGCACATGGAAAATTATGCCTCCTATTTATTTATCGCTGTGGTTTTTAATTGAAAGCCAGAGAGAGTTAGGCACAGCTGGTGGCAGCAGCTGGGGGAAATGGCGATGATGAGGCTGGGGGACAGGTTCCTAAGGTGATGCCCAGGCCTGTCCTGAAGGTTTAGAAGAACCCCAACATTCCCCCAGGCTAGTTGCAAGTCACTTTCCCCTCTGTGCCCAACACGGGAATAGCCTGTGGGCTGAGGAGAAGTAGTAGTTGGTAAATTGCTTGCTGTACAGGCCCAGAGGCCTGAGTTTGATCTGCAGAACCAACACATTTAACAGGTAGGTGTGATCCCAAGGCCGGGGCGTGGAGACAGGCAGGATCCTGGAGCTTCTGGCCAGTCGACTTAGGCTGAGCAATAGATTCCAGTCCAACGGTGAGACCCTGCCAGCCGAGGAAGGACACTGCGACATCTGGCTTCCATGCATGCACAGGCCTATGTACATTACACAAAGAGTAACCTGGAAATTAGGTACGGTAGTATAAGCCTGGAGCCCCATCCCCTCTGGACGCTGAAGCAGGAGGATTCCCCAACACACACACACACACACACACACACACACACACACACACACACACTACAAAAAAACAAAACAAAAAAACAACCCAGTATGGGAATTGTTCTGTGGCCTTCAGAACCCACCAGCATCTATAGCTACTGAGCAGCCCCAGGATACCTGTTCTTCAGGAAATCTCCCCACAGAGTGTGAGTGGCTGTGGGCTATTCCACTGTTGGAGAGAGAACGATTTATCCAGAGGGTTCCCGAAGGCTGGGGTCTCCTGCCTCCAGAAACAAGGTTGTGTGGAGCATTCCAGCTGGCAGGCCAGAGCACAGGCAGGACACTTTTGTAAGCTGTCTCTGTACCTTAGAACTGCAGGGTCAAAGCGCTGACGCCGTTTCCATTCCTGTTAATTACTTTTCCACAGAAGTGGGAGCAGTTTACACTGCTATAAATGGAGTGTGAACGTGCACCCGGCCCTCTCTTCACCGTCTCCACAACCTTACACTCAAGTGCATTGATCTTGGTGATCTGTAAGTAAGCTTGGGTCCCCTTCCCTCACCGGCACCTGTGAGCTGGACCCAGCAGCTCTTTGGTGGTCTAAACCCCACCACCCCCTGCTCTCCCTCCATTGGAACCAACAGCTCAGTCATGGCTGTCTCACTATTGGCCGGGTGGCTGGCGTCCTGTTGACTCGGGGCACCTCTGTGAAGTGAATTTCAAATTCGGTTTTGTCTTTTTTTTTTTTTTTTCCTTTTGACTTTTTGTTTGACAATTTTTTTTATTGTTAACTAGTTTCAATCTCTCTATTACTTTATTATTTCAGAGTTAGCTTTCATTATACAAATTTGAGTCTCTTGAAACTTAAATTGTCTTAAGGTATGAGCTAGTGTCTCTACTTCACTTTTTCCTAGCTTTTTAATATTTCTAGACTGTCTGTGCCACCTCTATTCCCCCAGTGGTCCAAGAGGCCATCAGTACTAGCTCGGCAGCCACATCCATGGCCTCCTCCCCTGTCTTCTTTCTGTTCCTTCACCTTATCTATGGTGGGTCACTATCATACAATTTTAATTATTACAGTTCTATGACACATTTCAATGTGTTCTCTCTGTGTGTGTGTGTGTGTGTGTGTTTACTCCCCTCTCTGTATAATATTTTGTTTTGTTTTTGAGACAGGCTCCCTCTACATAGCCCTGGCTGGCCTAAAACTCACTATGTAGACCAGGCTA